GACAGAGACAGAGAGAGAGGGAGGGAGGAAGAGAGACACTGAACACTGTTGTGAGTTAAGAGCCAAACCCTGGGGAAGACTGCCAGACTAGTGGCCATGGCAGCAGGGTAGAATGAAAGAATGAAAGAAAGGAGATATCCCTACATTACTTTTTTCCTCTTCCATCTGGATTTTCTCTTCCTCATTCCCTCCTCCTCCTTTCATTGCGCTCTTGTTCTCTCTCTGTTTCTGTCTTACATCCACACGGTCCTATTTTTCATACTGAGGAGTCTGTGTGTGTGTCATTGTGCTATCTCAGCAGCTAGGGGAAAGCAGCCCTCAGGTAATAAATAGGACCTCAAATTATGTGTGTGTTTGTGTGTGTGTGTGTGTGTGTTCAGATAATTATATGCAGTAGTTTTTTTGTCATTCTCTTCCGGTATTTGAGCCTGTCAATCCTCTCCCCAGTCATCTAGCATGATGGTAGCACACAGATACCAAATGCCCGTACCTAAACCTGTTCAACACTATGATACGACTATAACAGAGGATGAAGGGCTGGAAGACAGTGACAGCATGCAAGCAGAGATGGAGATCTAGATGGAGATGGGGGATATATGAAGGAAGAAACTGGCTTCTGCCATTAACTCTGTGTTTATATTTTTCTTTCCCCCATCAGTTGCTGGTCACAGTGCCTCTCTCTAGTATAGCTGACCGTGTCATCCTGTTGGCGTCCCCAGTAACCCCGCAGATGATAGAGGATCTACCCTATCTGGTTACTACGGCTGTTGTCACAATCTGAACAGGGTGTACGAATACTACAACAGCAGCACAGCCGCACAGCAACATGCATTATCTCTCTAATTTCATATGTGTCAAACACTCATATGAATCGAGCTCATAGTTAAAGGGTTGTTGTTTTTTATTTTACTGAAACATTGGAGGCAGCCTGGTAGAAAAACAGTTATGTGAAATATGAGAGAGCGGACAGTTGTCTTTTGAGCTGACGTAGTCAAGGCCAAAGTTAGCTTCCCTCCTGACCTCCATTGCTCCCACATATATACTTACCTGCCGCTCCTTGTCTCTCTCTCTCTCAGTACTGCTGACACCAGCACCTCCTCAGCACTGACCCTGGGGTGTCTCTGTGCTGCCTTTCAGCATCAGGTTTAACCTCGCTGGCAGTATGACACTGCAATTAGGAAAAATGTGTCCTGTTTTGAGTTTTCTGACCTACACGGACAGTGTGTCATTTAGTCTACTCTTATATATTTAAGGGGCTTAGATCGCCTTAGCTAACATAATGTAGCCAGTAACTGAACCAGTAATAATTTAACTCTTGCCCTTAAAAACAACGACCAACAGCTAGCCTCGAGAAAAAGTAAAAAGTAATAATGCTTCCCAGCTAATGCAAAATTGTTTTCATCACATGTAAGCTAGCAAGCTGTTCACCAATATGTCTTAGAGGCGGCTGTGTATTGTCCAAAGTTGTGTGCAAAGCTGGCAGGTGCTTTCAGTCTGCTGGTCGGTCGAAAAATAGCTTCAACGCGCAGGCTAACAGCTTGTTAAAACACAATGTCGCTTCTTCTAGTTCTACATTAAATACACACATACATGCAAGGCTAGCTGCCCCTTCCCGCCCAGCTCTAGCTAAGGCAGGTTAAGCATGGACTTCACTTTGTATTGGATGCATCGATATTTAAATATTTTCATCCAAGTATCAGTAAAACAACATGCATCTCAACAGACACACCGACAAGCCAGGGTCTTTGGAGCCAACACTCCCTGACATTAATAAAGCATTTCTACAAGAAATACAACACACGAGTGCCAAACTTTTTCCTTCCTTTTCATCTTAAACCTCAACCTATTCTGTGATCCTACACTGACTACGGTGGCTTTTCTTAAGAATACAGAGTTGAGAAGGAAAACATCCAAAGTCTCAGAAAACTTGGGCCACTGGGAAATTGAGAAGAAATTGCGAGGAAAGCGAGGCAGTATCCCCTCTTCCTGTGCTGCACCAAACAGTTCTATATCCTGGGACTATTAGGGCTAAGCTATAGAGAAGGAGGCATGACAACAAGAACACACTGTACAGGAATGAAGGGGCTAGAAACTCACAACACACACAAATCCAGTCACACAGACACAGACACACACACACACACACACACACACACAGGGAAGCCTGATGTACAGAGGCAGGAGGCAGCCTGTCTGATGCCTGTCTTTTTCCACCAGGGATGGAGAGGGAGGTGGGAGGAGAAGGAGAGATGAGGATGGGGGGGGGATGAGAGGAAGGGAAAAAAACAGGCGGAGGATGAAAGCAGACGCAGAGAAACACCAATTAAGAACGACAGCCGCCGGAGAACCAGACAGGGCACGGAGAAAGAGAAGAGAGCTGGAAGAGGGAAAAGACTGAAAGAATCCTCGCTGGAGAGAAATGGAGGAGTTGGAAAAAAAAACTGAACGCAGCAGTATTGAGGCTGGCAGACAAGGAGAGACAGGGAGACGAGGAAGGGGGGGGGAAAGAGGCACCTAAATATCCACGCACCTTGATCACTAGATCTAGAGAACGATGCAGGGAGAAAAACGAGCGGGGGGGGGGGCAGCAAGGGTGATAGAAAAATAGAATAAGGGGAAGGGGGAGGAAGACAAAGGGAGGGGAGACACTGAAACCAAGAGAAGCTCTAAAAAGGGAAAGAGCATGCGAGGAAAAAAAATGCAGCTTCACGTGTTGTGAACGACTGTCAGATAAACCGCAGACACAACACTGATGATCACAAAGGGAGGGGGGCACGAGGGAGGGGGGAGAAACGGAGAGGAGACTTTTTTTTTTTCCCTCTGAAAAACAAAACTAATATGGTCAGATCATGGCCACAGAATGTGGTAAATCCACTCTCCACCAACATTACCACTCAGCCAGCCACCCATTCCTGTGGCGTTGGAGAACCCACAGGGCTCTCCTGAGCCTTATTACATGAACGGGAACACTGTCATGGACAGCCCTTACCTGGAGAATCGTTCCTCAAAACCTGCTGCTGCTGCTACAGACCTCAACTGCTCGCCATAAATGTGTGTGGGCGTGAAATGTGTGTTTACTCGACCTGAACAGCTTGGGGAAAACAAGCCTGTAAATTCCACAGCTGATAAGCAGTAATAACAATGTTGTTGTTGCTGGGTGTTTCCATCCCTCGGTTACACTAACAGTCTCGCTGGTCGCTCCGTTTCTAAGCATTCTGTGCATACCAGCTTTGCCTTCAGCAGGTGGAGAGAGCGGCTTGTGAAAATATACAGCACACTTTATTGTTACTAGACAGGACTTGCTCAATGAACTGTGGCAGAAATATTCCTGGTTGTTGGAATCGGCAGACGGGGGACCGACTGGGGGCGAACGGGTGGGTGGAGAGCGCCGACGCGGGGGGGACACAAGGCAGAGAAAGAAAGTCAAAGAATTGGATAGTGAGAGAGTCAGACCTGCGCTATAAATAACAGCTTTGAGGTTTGCCTCCAGAAAATTAGCTCTCAGTGTCTTGGCTGCTTCCTCTGCCAAGTCGATATGAAACTTTAAACACGATGGCAGCTCATTAAATAGGAAAACAGCACAATGCACAAGACCAAGCAGGCCTGCTCCCTGCCAGCACCACAGCCAAAGCTTATTGAATTCAAGAAGAAGCTGTCAGGCGGAGTGTGTCGGTGTACGCGTTTGTGTTTCCTTGCGACTGCTTTGTGTTTATGAGAATATGCTGTCGCGCATTTTCTGCACATGCTCGCGTATTTTGCTTATTTGTTTTAATCTGTGCGCCTGC